ACAGTGTCGGCTGGCGACCCCCAGGGGGAGGGCCTTCTCTGTGGGAGCCCCCACCCTGTGGAACGAACTCCCCCCAGAGATCCGGATTATTCCGGATCTCCCCTCCTTCCGCCGTGCCCTCAAGACATGGCTTTTCCATCAAGCGGGATTGGCCTAGGGGGGGATTTTAAAGGGATTTTAAAGGGATTTTATAATTTTTCTAATACAGGTTAATTAATATATATTTTAATTTGGCTTTTAAATATTTATTGTATAGCTCTGTTTTTATTTACCTGTAAGCCGCCCTGAGTCCCTCGGGAGAAGGGCGGGGTATAAATTAAAGTAATAATAATAATAATAATAAATTGGGTTGTGTGAGTATTTTATAGAAGTTTTATTGTGTTCATTGTAAACCACCTACAATTAAGATAACCGTTCTTAGAATCTGATTGATGGAATGGCACATAGCCAATAATCAGATGGTCAAAGTTAAAACTAAATTTAAATATGACTTAAAAAGCCAATCTAGGTCTATTGATTATAGACCTCCTATATTCCATGTGAAATCTTCAGCTCCTTTCCTTTTTAAAGATGTCCCAGTCTTGTTTCTTCTTCCTATCTTACGGGCTACTAAACCACAGTTAAAAAATAAGTGCCTGCTATCGTGCTCTGGATTTCTCACATAAAATATGCCGCTTGCAATAACAGTATCTCCAGGAGGCAAAAAGGGCAGCACTTTGGCAGCATAAATCACTTTCTGGTTGCTCTCCAGCTGCACATTTAGCTTCTGAGAGGAAACACAGCACCATTCTTTCATCTCAGGTGGTGAAGAAGGAAAAAACTCTTTTATTTTCTGCCCAATCATGTGCTAATTATATATTGATTATTCTGGAAGTATTTTATTTACATATTTGCAAACAGCACCTGTTTCTTTCCACTCTGGTCATTAATAAGGAGAAAAGAGGTTAGATATCCTTAGCAGACCTTCTCTTAGCTTGAGTCACATCTCGGTTTTGCATTCAGCCTCTGCCCAGGAATATTCCTGGTTGAATTGGAGGTTAATTGCAGTAAAACTGGGCTACAAATAAAGGTACCTGTAATATGTTTCTTGATAATCAAAAATGTACTGTAGAAGTTTATGCTTATGCTTTCTCCTTTTTCTGTGCAAGGGTAAAACTAGAGTTTCATTCTTTGGAAAGTGGGACGTTTGAGGAGGGCCTTCAATATCCATGAAGACCTCTGTACCAGACCCCAAAGAGATCTGTAATACTGCAGCCAAAAAGTAATTATTTCTTTTTTGGGCAGGGAGGTGGGGACAGAAACAGAGGAAGGATACAATGGAACCCTTCACTTTTCTTCTTTCCCAATTTTGACAGCTTGGCCAATTGTGAAAACCTCCCAGGACAATAAAAACTCATCTACATTATGAGCATCTCTCTTCCCCTAGACTCTGTCCACCTCTTACATCCCCCACAATGGAAAGAGAGATGCTTGAGGAGTTTGATCACTGACACAAGCTGATCGTATGCACACACTCAGAGCCAAATAGGCAGTCACGCTCCCCAGTCTCTGAATTTTGCAATCGATTCTCCGTTCAAAGGCATATCAACATTTACTTTAAATGTATATTTTATGATATGCTCTGCTTAGAAATAAGTAACTTCAGAGAAAATATATTTAACAGACACATTTAAACGAGTCTTCAAATATGAATTTCATGG